ACACAATATTACATACTTTAATTTTACGTGGCTGAAGTAGATTACATCCTTTCATTTATAGTTGACCACAATTTGATATATTCCTTAACTAGTGCATTTGCTACACATTTTGAAAGAAATGAAATTTTGTGCAATAGTTACTGTAGTTACAGAAAAGTAGTCGAAAAGATGAACAATACTAGTCTATTCTATGAAGAAGTTATACCTGAAGATCAAATTTCTTTAACATAGGACAAATATTACTAAAACAAGATGCTGGCATACGCCAATCAACCAGCAACCCAGTGACACTTAAAGGCAAATGACATTAAGTGTTTATCATACGGTTTCAACATAAGACAAGTTTCTTTACAAAATGTAAACCGCTACCCATCCCGAGTCTAAATGTTTATAGTAGTAATTGAACTTAACACATTATATACATGTCATATATATACATATACTTGTCACGTACTATAATCAGCATATATATTATCTTATTAGCATTTAAAACATGTTTTTAATTCTTCCTTGAATTTGAAATCAAAGTACCCGTAAATAAAGGGATTAACAATGTGATTATTTAACACGAAGCGCGCGATTAAAAAGAAAGCACACTTTTCACTCTTAGATAAAGTCACAAAATTTTAAAGACAAATCCCTCTTATGTTTATGTGCAAATACAAGAGCAGCGGTATTATGCCGTCGACGTTTTATGACGTCGCAGCTCCCGCGAACTGGAAACCTTTATGAGAGTAATTCCTCTTTTATCCGACGACAATCGTTTAGCAAGGTCGATTTGCCGAGAACAAAATGAATTTATCTTTAGATTATTGACGTGTTCCTAAATTAGATAAAAAAATTGTGTTTGATTTCGTTTTTTAGGAACAGCATAACGAAACAATTAAGAAAAATAAAAATATGCATATAAAAAGAAATATAACAAGTATACAAAGAAACGTTCTGATATAACGTGCTTCTTTCGCTTTGTAAACAACAGCCGTGATAAAATTCTAGATATATCTATACTTAGCGCAGACTCAGAGATGTACATATTAATGGCTGTTACTATTTACCTACCACGTAAATCTACATGTATCGTAACCTCTGTGCAAACACTATGTGGATTTCGTTGAAATATAACAAGTACACGAAGAAACAATAGAAAGAATAAGGCAGGAATTTACATAAAAGCAAACAAAAAAGAAATACCCTAGAAGAGGTGGTTATGTTCTATAAAGATGGAATATGCCTTCTTTATTATATGAATAAAAGGTGATGAGGGGTAAACGTCAACTAAACAGCAATTCAACAACAAAAAAAGACTCAAGAAACAAAACCGAAACTGAAAATTCGTCACAAGATGGGTCACCCAAATATGATATAATAATAATATCCTTTACTTCATACTTGTATGCACTAATCTATTCTTTAGTGTCAATCGTTATAGCATGCGTTTAATTAACTTTCCTCAACAAATAATTAAGAAACTAAATCATCGATCTTGTGATCTAGATTCAAGGTATCTATAGCAGTCGGTAACATTGTTCTGCAGAAAATATTTTTCTCGATACAACGTATGCATATCAATTAGCCTTAGGCCCCATTCTTTTAACTCAGCATATTAAAACAAAATCTAAGAGGTCTTGATCTACATTCACTATATTATATAGTTAATATTCATAAAAGTTGTACATTTACATCGCTATTTACATAATAATATAAAAACAAATCTTCATTTTTTGAAAAAAAATGTCTTCTCAAAACATAAACATTCTTATTAACTAAATCGGAATTTTCATTCTAAATATTCATACAACGCATTGTTTTCGACTAAGCACTTTTGAATTACTTGTCTACGCTAAAAAAAATATGTGATGATGTGTATATCAATGTTCATTTAGTGTAATTGAAAACCAACAAAACAGTAAATAAATGAATTGATTTGTCCATGACCTGTGAAAACGTCTTTCAACGTTGCTTTCAGAATTGGCGCAATGTATTCCCGCCAATTCAAATGTTTAACGTCCATTTGAAATTATCTCTATTTCCAGTACGGCGACCCTACGTTTGTATGTCCTTACTTTGTTTAATAACAAACAATGTATATTCTATTGAATTTTCATCGAGAAACATATGTCAATTTTTCTTAAACTTGATTTCACCATATAAAAGGCGGGAAAATTTTTATAGCAACTTATCGTTATCATTTGTCCATCAGAAGATCAAAATATCAATGATATAATTTTTAGTAATAACAAGGTTAACAAAACAAACATTTTTTATATGATACGAACCTAAGATTGTTGTCGAAGGTCCCAAGTCTCTACAACTTCCGGTTCTCGAACTATAATTTTTCAAAAATTGCGTATAATATTTCAAGGGAAATTACTCTTATAAGGGTTGATAACGAAATAATTGTTTATGTTTATTTACACTGCCATCAGTTCTTGTACATGTTGCCATTTTCAAATCGATTCTATCTGTAACTTTTTTTAAGACAAATGCAAATAGAAGAAATAATTTCAGGGGGATATCACTCTCAAAAGGGATGATGAAATATTACGCAGCCTCATCTGGTAATACTTCATGATGAGATCTTCCTATTGTCCAAATAAGGTCATGATGTCTTCCAAAACAACGCGGGGGCACCATGTGGAAAAAAAAACCGATAAACGGGATAACTTAAAAAGAGGATGATGAAATCCTACACAGCTTCAACTGGTAATACTTCATGATGAGGTCTATCGATGGTCCATATTTGGTCATGATAATTTCAATACAAACGGGGGGAGGGCATGTAAAAAAAAAATGTTTGTAGAAAAAAAAAAATTAGAAAAACAATAAGGTCTTTCCGCACGTCATGATTGACGGAATATATGTCACGACATAAGCAATTATTTTGACGAAAAACTAAATATTTATTCTTCTTTTAACTGAATCTCGTTTAACATTATTAGAGCTTTATTGTGATGTTGCTTTGATTCTCCTTCATTCAATTTGCCAGTGCTATTTTTTTTACTGAAGATTGACTTGGTTGTGTTGTATTTTAAGCTACTTTTTGTGCTTCAGTTTAAGCTTAAGCTTAAAAGGAGAATCATTTATATATTTTGAATCAGAGGCTGTATTGTATCCTTAATGTTCTTATCAATTCCATCGATAAGACCGGCTGACTCCCAATGTCTTATTCATTCCAGGCTTGCGTTACATGTATATTCGATACTATGTTTGATTATGTTTTACATGTCTTCTTATAAATGGAAATCCATTATTTTTGTGGACGTAAGGTTTCTTACATGTGTTGTTTGAACTATGCTAGATTCCATAGTTATCACAGGGAAAATGTTGAACCTTTTACCACTGAAAGACATTTGTATTATCTTCAAACCGGTATAAAAAGAGCAACCGTTAGAATTATAATAAATATCCTCAAAAATGCAAGAAAACCGACGTAGGCTGTTATTTTTGCTGATGTTTAGACTGTTGAAAATTTACAAATAGTTACTTGTAAAGTGTGATATAGCTTGCTGTTCGGTGTGAGCCAAGGCTCCGTGTTGAAGACCGTACTTTGACCTATAATGGTTTACTTTTATAAATTTTGACTTGGATGGAGAATTGTCTCATTGGCACTCATACCACATCTTCTTATATCTATATAGAAATAAATGCAAGATACTCGTTTTAAAAACAAATGCCTGCTTTAGAACAAAAAATTTGCAGACGGAAAGGTATCGTTGAACGCATATAATTACTGGAAAATGTGCCGAAATTCCTTAAACAAATGTTTGCGAAAATGTCAAAATTTGACAAACTATATCACTAGGCTAATCAAATACGTATGTATTGTCCATTATTTAAAAACGATGAACTTGTTACACAAGCTAAAAAATCCACAATTGCCAACAATGGAATACAAAAGCATTGGCCTCTTTCGTTTAGTCGGAAAAAGCAAAACACGATTATTACACAATTTCCTAATAAACCAATAAAAAGTAAAATAACAAAAATACCGAACACCAAAATTCAAAACGGAAAGTCCTTTATGAAATGGCAAAATCAAAAGCTCAAACACACCAAACGAATGAAAAACAACTTTCATATTCTTGACTTGGTACAGGCATTTCCTCATGTAGGAAATGGTGGATTAAACCTGGTTTTATAGCTAGCTAAACCTCTCACTCGTACGAAAGACGCATAAAATTCCATTATATTGACATCAATGTGTGTAAAAAACATGCAGACATAATAATTGTACCCAATATTATCAGTACTGCACTACTTAAATTTACATCTGTATGTCAACTACAAAGAATTTTACCATATTCATTGTTATTATTCATTGAAAGATTTAGGTAAATGAAACGCGATCGTCAAAACTTATATGAGCACATATGAAGATAGCGTTCATTGTATGCATATAAAGTTATTTATACTGCGTGAATTTGAACTTCAACAACTACCACTTCCTGAATAACATAATATTACAGACTTGATTTTAAGTGACCGAAGTACATTACATCATTTCATTGCCAGTTGACAACAATTTCATATATTTCTAAGTAGTACATTTAGTACACATTTGATAGAAATAAAATTTTGAAATTTCAACATTTATGGTAGCTACGGAAAAGCAGTTGACAAGAGGAAAAATAAAAGTCTATGAAAAAAAATATACATTTGATACCAAACTGTAGATCAAACTGTCATTTAATACAGGACAAGATTGAACACAAAAGATATGTTGGCATATATCTATGAGATAGCAACCCAGTTACACTTAAGGCATAATGACATCCAGTGGTCAACGTACGGTATCAACAATAGGCACGTATCTATGACAGCTATAAAGCTCTTAAATCGGGCGTCTAAATGTTTAAAGGTGTAAAAGGATTGAACACATTCTATATAGCATCTGCTAATATTACCAGAGTATTTTATTTTATATGACAAAAACATTAAGGTACAACAAATGATGCCACTAATGAGCATCCTGAGCTGGGACAGGCACATGAAAATGTACAAAGATAAACTAACTTTTTATGTAATAAACTATTCCGTACTTAACTCTATTGTACTGGAATACTATATAACAAAAACAAACAATAAAACATCGCATCAATGAAATAAAGAACTAAACCTGTTGAGATGAAATCATACAGTCCTACACTCTAATATGAACGGTCGTTTTTATATAATGTTTATTTATATATGCGTTCGAGCTTGTTATTGTATGTTTCTTTTGTACGACCAGTTTCTCTTTTTTAAAAGATTATTATTATTACCGTTGATTGTGTTTACAAATAAAGAATGTCTTCAATTCTGTTCTAAACTTCACATCGAAATAACTATATATGAAAGGATTCACTATATGGTTGAGGAAAACGAAGCGTGCAAGATATATCCAAGCAATTGTTTCGCCCTCTGTTAAAGTAATAAAATTAAAATCACCAATTGCATAGGAAAGTATTAAAATAATCAAAGATGGAATATATGATAAAATATAGGCGAGAATTATGACAAAAAACATGATGGTTATTCTTCTTTTTACGGAGTCATTTCTCGTTTTCGAACTGCCATCATGTTTGATTTCATTATCCGTAGCCACTATTTCTTCAGATTTGACGGCATTATTGATAGAATTATCCTTGACTACATCATTATGAGATGGCTCTTTATTAGAAAACATGTTTGCAAATTCCTTGTTTCTACACTTCTCATTATGCTTAGAGTCATATTCCGTCTTCTCAATTCCGCTTTGCTGTGTTGGTTCCGATACTGAAAGATGTAAATCGGAATCTATTAAACTTGCATTTGTTGGTTGAGATGCCGATTCAGTATTAGATGGCGTATTTCCATCTTGAATCTTGTAAAATACACTTTTCACCGTCTTTCCAGATAAAGACATGTGAATTCTTCTTAGAACTGGAATGTAGAGTGCTGCGGTAATAATGATATTGGCCACGATGATCAAACCGAGAAAACCAAAGAAAGCTGTAATTTTTACGGATGTGTCTACTGCAGAAAATTTACAAATCGTTGTTTGAACTGTGTGATTCAAGAAATTTTCATCGGTTGTTTTAATCCCTGATATTCCTAAAAGGGGTACTGAATAAACTAACGAAAATAAACAAGCAGCTGCAAACGATATCTTTTTCCATAATAATGTCATCTTTGGCCCAAAAGGTTTGCATACTAAAAGATATCTTTGAACACAAATAACCAATAGAATATGCGCTGAAAATCCTGGAACAAACACTTGCAAGAATGTCAAAATTCGACACACTATGTCATTTGGATAATTGTAGAAGAAGGTGTTGTCCATTATATAGAACGAGGAACTTGTTAAGCATGCAACTAAATCCACAATGGCCAAAAGTGGGATGAAGTAACGCTCACCTCTCTCCTTAATTCTAATAAAGTAGAAAAATATTACTGTACAGTTTCCAACGATACCTATAATTGCTCCAATTACGATTAAAATTGTACTGCTAAGAGAAATGCCATGATATCTGTTCCGAAGGACTTCGCCATAATCAGTATAATTATCTGTCATGCTGAGGTTGATCAGTCGTTTGTATCCTTAAATGTAAACATGAACATGTATGCGTACTTAATATATACGTCAGTGTTATAAGACTTCCTCTTCCCGCTTGATTGATTTTGACACTGCGTCAAATATTTACGTTTCTTTAATGATTCGATTTTTCGTTTTCAATTATCATGTTCGTCTCCCAAAACGTGATTTAAATTAGACTTGAATTTATTTGGATATACAAGACAGGTAGTATGTTTATAAAGATAAGTTCAATGTCGTCTTTTAAATTAAGAAAGTATATATATACTGGGGTAATATATATATTTCTTTGATGTACATATGATCTTAAAACTTTCTAAGATTTTCAAATAAATTCTGATGTCTTTCATTTAAAATAGTTTTGCAAATATATAACATGGGTAAAAATCAAAATAACACCATATAAATTTGTTTCGACTGAAGCACTTTTCTGGGTTTATCTTATATATCCATGTACGCTCAAAACTTAAAATTTGAAAGACAAGGTTGTATAAAAATATCTGAAAACGTGATTAGATGTATGCCCCCCTAACAAAAATAACTAAATTTCTGTGCAGGAGGAATTTGGAACTTAATTTTTTAATAAACTAAATGTTACAAGTTTTACTCCAACAATTTAATCCCACTCTGGGTATCTGTAGTATTGCATGTATACTGGATATGTAGAGTATGTTACAGCAGACTGAATGATTATATTATATACGTAAAATATAGCACAATCTGCCTTTGGAGGTACATAAACTTTTTTTCATTTTCATTGTTATATCACAATTCGATATGTAATATATTCAACTGTGTCATCAATGAACGATTTAGAAGGTAGTAAATTCAGGATTGATATTTTTTATGCAATGTGGGGTTTTTCATCAATCTTCAATATTATGTCTAAAGTGTAGTAAATTTTTCTTTCTCGTATATACTTTTGAGCATGCATGGTGTTATCTACCATAATCGACCTATCATTTTTTGCCCATGATGCTATACTCTCAATTCTCAGAAATACTCTCAAATCGAAAGGATTGCAACCTTTTCTGCAGAGATTCAGTAAATATATCTATACATTGTTTTAAATTTAAAAAATATAGAATCAAATGGCATGTAAATAATAGTACTATCATACAACCATGCTTTTTTTCGACCGAAGTGAGTAAGTCCTATGATATTGACATCTTATTTTCCTCCGAATTGCTGTATGGCATAGCCATATCATTTAATATTGATTCGTCTTTTTATATTTTGTTTGAACGAAGCAAAAAACATATAGCCTTCAACGTGGATGTGAATAAAAGGACGCGTGGATTAATGGCAATCAAAAGAAAATAAAAAAAGCTATATCTAAATTCGCCAAAATAATTGACAATTTAACAAAAGCTCGCATTGAACTTTTCAACCAACAAAGCTATCCATGCAAAAGAACAATTATGTACAGTGAACTGCAACACATATCAAAAATATAAAGCACGTATAAAACACAAATTAGTACAGTTAAAAGGACACAGAAACATTTGAGTACACAACGCATAAGAAGTAAAGCACATATAAATGCATATTATGCATATGCATCGTTTTCATTTAAACAATAGACATGTGGCAATACAATACGAAATGCTATAAATCACTCGACTTAAACCTATTTGATATAATTGTTGCCTTTTTTATCACACGGTATCTAAACATTAATTCCTATGATGTTCGAACAAAAATGAAGTTAATTTAAATGCAAGGGGTAAGTGTAAGGTATCAAATAATAACTAATTAATCACGTTACGAAAAATATACTAACAGATATTTACAGGTCTACATTCGGTCTTATTTAGTAAAAGTTTTTGAAAAAGACGAAATTATACAACTTTCCAAGTTTGAGTAAGATTTTACCGTGTTTGAATAGAATTAATTATGAAATTCCATGAGAATTTATCTGGCAATATTATTACCACTGAAGCAGATAGGTGATCAGCATTAAAGAAAACATGATTGATGGATTGCTGCTTGCTGACTATCCTGTGGCAATTATAACATGAAATGAAAAGAATGATATTTGAAGGTTATGCTTAGTTTCAATTGCAATAGGTTTAATATTTAAAAGTAGCTTTTTTTTATTTCGTGCATTCTTTGATAAGGCATTATTTAGTGTACTGTTATTTCAAAAATTATTACGAGGTATTTTAATAATGTCAATATTGCAACTGGGTGAGTATTGCAATAATAAGATATAGCAATAAAACCAGGTTTAACCCACCTTTTTCTGCGGAAATTGCCTGTACCAAGTCAGGAATATGGCAATTGTTTTTCATTTGTTCTGTTGATTGAAAGCATTTGATTATGTCAGTTTTTATGGACTTCTCCTTTTTGAATATTTTTCTGATGAATGAATGAATGAATGAATGTATGCAGCTTTTTTTTTGAAATCGCAATGCTTAATCGCGAATTTTGGTTGGTCATATTAATTTCTCTTTTATAAACGCTCGCAACAATTGCTGAATTACAGTAATTTACATGTTCGTGCATTTATTGTCTTTGAAACCAGTATTATAAACACTGATAAAGATAACCGGGTTTTCTTTCTGAGTGTAAACATGAACATAATAATTCCGAATGTATAGAATATTGCATTAATGAAACGAATGAAAAGGGACACCCTGTCAGTATTTGCCTCGTCTAAATGTGAGGATTTTTTGAAATTATTATTATTATTTGTGTTTTCGTTTTTGTTTTCTTTTTGCGTTTTCTTGTTGTTTTCTGCCATTTTTTTTAAATTTTATTAAGAGAATATGACGTTGATGACAGGTCTTTGGTAGTTTCTGTTGAATTTATTCACAACTTTATAGAGCTGGGAAGTTTTACACCTCAGCTTTTTTTTCAAAGACATCAGTAATTTGTTGAAAATATTGAAGAAAAAAAAATTTTGTCATTTTGGTTGAAGTCTCCAACATCCTTTTTTTTTTCTCAATTATCGATATGAGAATTAAGTTTTTGAAGAAAAAAACATTAGATGAAAACCAGTAAAAGAACATGGAGCACTGAAATGTGTCTTCAATCAGGTGTTCAACACTCATATGTATGCACCGACTAACTCTTGATCTATTGTAACCGTATTTGTGATGTATCCAACCAAGACCTAGGTATTGTTTTAACTAAATGCACAATTGTTATGATTATAAAAGATCTTATATATGTTATTTCTGCAATGTATGGCTGGATTATAATTAATGGTTCCACTAGAGGAGATGAAAATGTCCAGACTTTAACGGCCCTAGCCTCTTTTTCTACGACTGATTCAATGGTGTGCTCATTTTGCCTTTTGAAATTCACAAGATAATGTAGACGTGTATGATATACTTCAGGTATATATATAAGGGAAGTCAACGAGTTCTCGAGTATTCGAGTATCGCTCGATAGTACCGAGTATCGAATACCAAATCGAAACTCGACTAATCGGTTTCCTGTTAGAATATTGTTGTCTTTTTTATATAAAATTGATCTTCTTGAGAACCTCTTTCGGAAAATTAAATAGACATCACTGATTAATCATAGTAGTAAATAATATACATTTTGTTTCGAATTCTTGTGCTAAATTGTCATTTAAAATGCTAATAAAACCTCATGTGCATTTGCAATACCTGAAATGGGAATAAAAAAAGGTTTCAAACTGCCTAAGAATATGTCAATTTTCACTTGTGAGCTTATAGCAATATTTCTGTCTCTTATATGGTTAGAAGAATTCAAACCAAATAATGTTATTGTGTTTGTCGACTCTTTATCAGCTCTACAAGCCTTAAAGAGTAATTTATTTAAGGTAAAAAATTATTTATTGTACGATATTATATTTTTATACAACCAGTTAGTCAAACTAGGTAGCAACATAATATTTGAGTGGATCCCAAGCCACGTCGGAATTTTAGGAAATGAAATTGCAGACCAGACTGCCAAAGTGGCTCTTAATAAAGGTACAATAGATTGTCATATTCCCCTATATAAGGAAGACATCAAATGTTTAACAAAAAACATTTTAAAACAAATTTGGCAAAAACAGTGGTCAGACAACCCAAAGGGAAGATTACTACACTCCTTCCAAAATAATGTATCTTTTAAGATTACTATTCCACAAATGAATAGAGAAAATGAACGAATAATATTCAGATTAAAATCTGGCTCTATAAATGTCAATAAATATCTTCACAAAATAGGGAAAAGCCCGAGTGAAATTTGTGAAAACTGCAAAGTCACAGACGATGTTGTACACTTTCTATTAGTCTGCTCAAAATATGATGTGCAACGAAAACAGATGTTTGATACGCTTAAAAAAAATGGAGTCATAGATCTCTCATTGAAACACCTTCTATCCGGATACACACACACTTTTAGTCCCGTGCATAACTATCTACGGGAAACTAATATACTTATAAGAAAATAGGAAGACTCTCAACTATAAGTGTCATTTAGTTTTAGTTTAGATATTATAAAATAAATAATTATGTATTTGGAACCAGTGTATATGAACTATTTCTCAGATGGTCCCTCAAGTTAAATTATTTCATCAAGTTATACAACCAGCAAGATTAAAAATAAAAGAAAAACTCACCCGAATATAAAATCATTTCCTTTTTTAATATCCATAGAATAATGATAAGTAAGTCACAAGTGCAATGCACACTTCACCTTTGTGTCAGTCCATTGAGCGTAATCAAACAGACTTTTTTCTACCTGTGTCATACATCAGTAAATCAATCACCTTTCAAACACCAGTACTAATTGACCATGAAATGCACGCAATTAATTTTAACAAGTATCAACATTCAATTTAAACACTCTGATCTATTGAAGATTAGTACACTAGAAAAGTTAACATTATATATTAAGGGAAAATACAACATCACCTTAAGATTCTCTATAATGGACAATTAGAAATTAAGAAATAAAAACAACAAACACAACACACTGTGCTCATATATTTAACAATAGAAACATTTGCTACAGGCTTCTTTTTTTTATGAAAGTGCCACTAACATTTATCTTAATGTTAAAAGATCAAAGGAAAAGCAAGAACAAAGGAAAATACAATTTGTCTTTTCAGATCTTCACAAACTGACAATTATAGTCATATTATTAGAAAATAAGAAAAACAAACAAACACAATCATTAAGCTCATATATTTTTTAGAATAGAAACAAGTGCTAAATCCTTTTCTATGACAACAAAATGAAAAAAACTAAAATTTGTACTAGAGGATGCATATGTCAGTTAGACAAACACACACAGATTATTGTATATATATATATGCACATCCCAGCACTTCTGTTTCGCTGACATTCTCTGTACTTACAACAAATTCAAACAATTGCATTGTTTTAATAATATACTGGTATTATTTTTTTCATATTTTTCTATTTTTACTCCATTTATATATTACATATATATATATATATATATCTAAATAGGCGATTAAGGGTGTAGGTAGGGGTGATTTCTCATTCAATGACAGAAGTGTTTTTTTTTTTCTCGTCAGGGAAGGAGGAATCACTAAATACCAGTATGTCTTTGGAAATTTATTTGGAAAAATTAACGCAACTTGCCGTTATGGAAAAGGAAAAACTACAATCAATCCTTACTTAAGGATTCTTTATTTGCTACATCAATCGTGGGAGACGTCCTTACATTGGTAGCATTTAACTAGCACATGTCTTGTTTTATGTTTCTAAATATACTTTTTTTTATAAGCATATCACAGACGACACAAAGGTGAACAACTAGATGAAATTTCTAAACAATTTTATGATACCTATCAATTAATAATGTACATTTCATTAGGAAGTATAATTTGCTTTTTTTTCTCTCTCATTTTCCTATTACATGTACCTTCTGTTATATGTTGTTTTTTTTTCTCTCTCTACATATAAATACTTTATTGTAACACAGTCAACCATATTGTCAAAGTTTTATATAAATCTCGCCAAAACGTAATACTAAAAATGAATTCAGGAATGAAAGCATATATACATAATATTTATGTTATATGAATTTAAGGCGCAATTACTACATAAGTAAGCCGCCTACCAAAACCAATAACAACAACAACAATTTAGAATGCCTCCGAAAATACGTTGGCTATACCAAAGCTAACACTTTAAACTACACATGTCTCAGCCATTCCGTCAAGTCGGTACCATCAGAGCAAATATTTTCGTCTGCAAGACTGTAATTTACAAAGTAACCGACTGTCCCAAATAATTGTTGACAAAGAAAATGTTTCCAAATAAAATAAATTCGTTGTATCCTCTGGTGACCCTCAGTGAATAGTCAAACTTCTAATCCTTACGAATTTGTTACATAAAATGTGCTTTCTTAATGATTACCAAATACTATTGTTTGATATGGTTTTTTATTGGTATAATTTTTAAATAGGTTTTCATTAAATTACATTGATTAGATTGTAGTTTTTAACTTAATTAGTACTTGTAGGTAATGACCTATTAATTACGGTGTGTAATTCCTTGTCCCAGATACTTATGTAGATGGTTATTCGTCCGTTGAACAACAAACCACAGAATGTAAAGTACGTTTTTTTGTGTTTCCGTGTTGTAGATATATTCCCGATCGAGTACTCGAATATCGCTCGATAAAACCAACTAGTACTCGATTAGTAATTGTTCACCGAGTTTAAATCCCTAATATAAATATAACGCTTTTCAGCAAAGGCGCATGGGTGCATGAGTCCCTCTTTTAAAATTAGTAATGTCTATTTAATATTTCAACTTATTTATCCTTATCTAATACATCCTTGCTTTTTCTCCATAACATCTTACAATAACAAAGTGTGTACATGCTATTCAAGTGGTAAAGATATTGTTCGCTCTCGTTACTAGACATTGTGTTTCTGTTTCATGGCGTTCATTTTGTTGTCACCATAAAACCAACATTGTTTAAAAAGATGCGACAACGGGTGAACTAAACTTCAAGATAATTTTTTTAAAAATGCAATCTTTGATGAAATCACTTCAAATGATCCTTTTTTGGAGCAACAAGGGAAACGCTGTCATGGCCTTTACATGGTACGAAAATTAGAACAGCAATATGGAGATATTAAGCATTTGCATGACAAATATCACGTCAGGAATAGTATCTATTATCATATGACAACAAAACGTTTCTTTTCTCATTGGCTAAAAGCATAGGGAATCGTCATTGATAAAACATTATATTAACCGAGGGAAAAACTATGAGAGGTTAACATAAGATTTGGAACAGCTAACGTGTACCTAAATTTAGTTATTCCAAGGTAACGTCAATAACGTAGGTAAATGACATTATGTACATTCTCGTTTTTCTTCTTTTTGTTTTCGGTGTAATTATTTTTTATGTGTTAGTAAATTTTATTGAAAATTTCAACTTATAACAGTGAGCAACTGCAAAATCAGATAAGATAAGTAAAAAAACAAGAAGCAGTTAACTATCTTGACAAAATACTAGCAAATTGGAGAAGGATAAAAAAAAAGTCATATGATAAAACAATTGTTGACTTTTGATATCAGTTGATACAATGATTTATCATCCCCAGAGATACGACATTCACCCTCGGCCGTTGGTCTCGGTGAATATCATATCTCTGAGGTTGATAAATTATTGTATCAACTTCATCAAAAGTCAATAATTGTATAGTGTTCAATTTTGAGCATCCAACTTATCATATATTGGTAAAGCAATATTTGGTACTGACGGGATGGGTAAAAACTATTCAAATTGCCTGGTGTTCCAATATAATTGTTTAGTTAATTTAAAACGTTTCGGAAAAAGAGATCGGCTTAAACAATCTGCCAATGCATTTTAAATCAAATAATAATGAAATCGATTGATTAACGCACATATCAAGAGAAACCGAGTCTATTTCTGATTTTCCCCGATTACAGTCGAGTTATACTCGGTACGGTTAAAAACAAAACCTTATATATTCCAAATATTTCGTGTTCGTAGTGTTAGCCAATAGTTTTTTATGTTGTTATTTGCTTAACGTACAAAATAAAGATATCAAGCATATACGGGACAAGAACAAATAAAACAATAAATCAATTATGTAGGTTTTTCATAATGGGATCCACGGGGATTAAAGTCGTATATTTGGAAGACTGATATTTGAAAAGGGGATATGATGGGTAGAGACGGAGATTTTCATATGCCTTATATAACCTACAGATCCCCAATGAGTTATTGGACGGACTTTTTGACGTAACAATAGCAAAACACTCCCCCATTTTAGGCAAATGTAATGTCTCCATTATAACCGGACGTGGAAATCAGTCAAAACTTTAGTCCTAGTTTTGAACGGTGGAAATCATAGTAAAGATATATATATATACTCGAACAACCTGACCTTGGGTTTAAAGAGTTATATTCTAAAACAAACATGAAATCAATTTAGTTACGTCTTGATTTTATTAGAATATACAAAAAAGGAGTAAAACTTAGCAAAAAGGAAACAAACTCTCAATTCAACTAAAAGGTTAACATCTTACTCATGCATTGAAAGATACAATTAGTATGATCATAGTCAATACTGTCCTCTTTTGATACAAGAAAATCAATACAAATTTTAAAAGTATTTTTCAATTGCATGAATTCACTTTTTTCATTCTAAAGATTCCTGTTTTATCATGCAAAATCACACAATGAACACTTGGTCCTTTAACATTATTGTTTACCAAGCACATTTTTTTCTGTTATTCTAAAATCTCAGTAAAATATACTAACGTTGAACAAATGTATAAAATTGACAGAATTGTCAATAGTTTTGGATTTTTTTATCCAAAAGTGTTCATCCATGAGTAAACCTTTTAAATTAAAACCAATTGATACAGATACTTCATCTACATTCAGCAGTTTTAAAGGAATACATTGAAATTAAAGACAATACACTAACACATATAATGTATACACATACAAACAAGCAATTTCAGACATACGCATAACTGTCTTTGTTGCTGTTTTTGAAATATTAGGAAATATCCTCTTCAAAAAAGTTCCTAGGTCTGGTTAAGCTGTCACAAAAATTCATAACATAAAATATTACATTAGTTTTTTTTTCTAAATAAATTTGTAACTATAGTGCGTTATTTAATAGATATAAGGGATAACTCTCCATTTGACACGATGACAGTATTTTTCCCAATCCTCGCCGTATTTATCTTTACATTCGTCACAGTCCATTCGTTCTCGATGCAACAACATCGATGTAATCAAAGTTGCGTTCAAGTGAGGAAGGAAATTAGTGAAACCTGAAAAAGAAAAGAAAAATGAAAAAAAGTATTATGTTTGGGGCTGTTTTAGTTTTGAATGCTAATCTTATAAGGTAGCTTATTCTAATTTCTCTTTTCAGCGTGTATCAGTGTGGAAGGCTAGATCTTTCCTCGATTGTGACATCACCGAATTTGAACATGTCGGGTACCATATGTATAGTAGAATCTGCTATCTCTTCCATGACACCTGAGATCACCATCGATGTTTGGTGAGGTTCGTGTTGCACATTCTTTCGGGCTTTTTTTATGTAGTGCTTTGTATGCTATTGTTTGTCTTTTTGTTTCGTGTATATCATGCTTTTGCAGGTTTCTCTTCGACTTTCGAAAATCGTAAATTCTTTAAAGGCTTTTAATACGTTATTTTTAGTTATGTCATACGACAATGATTTCATTTTTCGTCTGTCATTAAAAAGATAAATATGTTTAATAAACGTTCTGGAACTGTGCTGAGATGATTAAAGCTTATAATGTTATCTTTGACAATATATATGAACGAAATAAAGTTTGATAGTATAATAGAAAAAAATTATATCACTGACTATTTCAAAATTGAAACAAGCATTCTGAGAGTATTGCATGGCAATACATAGTCCCCTACCGGGTAAAAGTTCATTATACTGGAATGCTAACTTGTTCTATAACTTGTCATGGTGTAAACAAAAAGTAAATATCATGTCAATATCTTCAAGCATGCCTAAAATTAGTGTGGAAAACTGATTATATGAGTGAATTTTTCAAGTCCAAGGACCATAACTCTGCACAAAATTATTAGACCGAAACAAAAATTTGAATTTGATCTGTAACTTGTCATGATAAAACTATATACCAATCATCAATCAATATCTTATAAGCATGATGAAAAAAACATTAGATATGATTAATAGTTCTCTAAAATTAGATATGATGTAATACAGTGTATATCTATTTTCAAATTATAATCAAATATAATTAATAGTTCCAAATATTTTTTCTTTCATTTGTCACAAACTAATATAGATTTGTAACTTATCTATAAAATGTCAACAACTTTTATCTACACAATGTAATGTATTGAAATATATACATTAATAAAAAAAAATTATTCTCTAATTAAAGGATTTCTCTTCATAATTATATATATATATATATATAGCATTCAGAAAATTAGATTATACTAAATAACAAACAAACCTGCCAAAAAATTCTTCAAATAATTTAACAAAGAATGTCTTTTAAAAAATGAGTTATCTCCCTTTGTACAGAAATATGGTTTAACATAGTACTATAACATCAGATATGGTCCAGAGTTATGGCCCATAACTCTGGACTAAATCATCAGACCGGAACAAAATTCGAACTTAATCTATAACTTGTCATGATAAAACTATATACCAAATATCAAATCAATATCTTCAAGAACGAAGAAAAAAAGTGTGGAAAGCTGATTTGCCGGACTGACGGATGGACAGACGGACAGACGGACGGTGTGCAAACCTAAAGTTCCCTTCGACTTCGTCGGTAGGGGACTAATAAAAAAAAACCATGGCTAAACTTGATTTTATTAAAAAAAATAGAACAGCAATAATTGATATTTTCTTAATTTTGTTATTTTAGTTTCACACCGAAAACTCTTTTAAAATACCTACAACTATGACGAAAGGACCGATTATTTAGTTGCCCTTTGTTTGGACGATCATGTTCATTTTGCACCTTCTTATGTATGTATGGTTCCCAACTAGTCTGAAGTTAGGATTTTGATTCCTTAAATGACTTAAAACCCTTATCAGAATTCCTTTAAATATACAAAGACTAGGTTAAGAATTTTGGTTGTGCCAAACTAAATCAAAATCATATTACAAACGAAATTTCACAAGAGCAACATTGCCGACCAAAACAATAACGTTTTTGAATCGTCTCCTTTATTTAAGTTTAAATTTTCTACATTTAGTAACATTACAGTTATGTCTAAAGTTATTCTAGATCTTCAAGGGTATCAGTGTAATATTGTAGTAGGATATTTGAATATTGTGTTAATCGGTATCTATATTGATTTTTTTATTAGTTTAATTCATAACTCAAGACTGTATTGCTATCTATAATCCTACATCCTGGTAATACTTTAAAGCCAAAATGGCACAATATCATGCTTTCCCCAGACTGCTGATTTTTCGTATTTGCACTTTTTCTGGTAATGATGTACAGAATGATATTATTTGTCCTGGAAAACATGGTTAAATTATCAGTTTCAATCGGGCGTTGAAATTGCTTTCAGGAACTGCGAGTACACATAGATCGATACTCTGAAACATTTCTATTTTCGTAAATTGTTTTTGTGATCAGCATGATCAAGCCTTTTTCAACTGAAATTAAGTTTATTTTTATGTTGAGTAGTGACACCGTGCAGCCCCAGGACAGTAGGGTTAACCATTACAAGCAACTTTAACCCACCATACTCTCTGTGCCTTTCCAAGATAGGAGACAGTGATTGTCGTTGATTCCTGTCGATCATAAACGTTTTTCGTTTATCGTTTCAATATAAAACAAACCGTTTGTTTTCTGTTTTAAAACTTTTTTACCATACGTCATCCTTGTGCCTGTTATAGCTTAATACTTTATGTAACTGGTTTAACTTACTGTTGAATGCCGTATGGTGACATGTAGTTGTTAACATCCTTGTCCTTTGGCCTCTGTGAGATAGTGTTTTAATTGGTAATCAAATCAAATCTCTTTTTGTTTATTGTACAATAAAACACTCTTCACGCAATATACGTGAGAAAATATGTTGCTTAATGAGACTTATTCAGGGGTGGATTCAGGATTCTAAAAAGGGGGCATAATTGACCGTACTGTTGAAAATGTAAATAAAAATGAAGATTTGTTTCAAACAAATTGTCATTCCCTACATAATCCGCAACCGATAAGGATATTCTGAATAAATAGTTAAATACAAACCTGCAGCAAAACTCATAGCGACATGCATAACTATGTCTCCGAGGTAATTTGGATGACGAGACATTCCCCACCATCCAGACACCAACAGGTGCTTGTCAGATGCCGTAGTAATAGTTTCGTATTCTAAAAGAAATACAGACAAATTAAACAACAAAGATAGGAATTAAAAACGATCAAAGATAAACGCGGAATAGCATTTTTGATAATAAGAATGCCATAATTTGGAATATTTTCAGAAAATTATTTATTTAAAACTGTTTGCACATACATTGGCGTACATTGCGTTGTATAGGTATACAAGATGTATTTTCAGCAAAGAAAGATCTTATCTAAAATTGTGTCAGAATCATTGTTTCATTCCAATTACAAATGTAACTATATTCATATATTAGTTAATAAACATTAGAATGAATATATATATATATATATATATATATTAGTACGTCTAAACAAGTGACAACTCTACGACAGATCCATCTATTGGATCACCATTGAAGGTGATACACGGTTGAAAACACATATTATATTCATAATTACTCTAAATATCAGAATATCAGCACAACAATGTTAAATCTGCAAATTTGCAGAAGCAAATTTTTATTTTTATATATCACTAGTAAACGAATTTTAGTCTGAAACGGTTATTTTGGTCTTAACATCATCTGAAAAGTCTAAACAATAGATTATTACATCACATCATGTTCAGACAACTCGGTTACGGTCAATTAAAATCTGTTCACTCCATGTCTGTCTAGACTGTTCAGTAGTTGTTATTTACCTGTAAAGATTAACAAAATATACTGAATTGTCTGAAAAGCTACTGAACAGTACTGAATTAACTGCAAGTAAATGATCTAAACAGTACAGAATTTACAGCAGTAGACAAACCTGAAAATGGATTGCAAAACTGAAAATTACATAATGTTATATTGTTCAGTCTTAGGAGCTATTCAGATCAAAATGACCGTTTCTGACTTAAATTGTTTTACTAGTTTATGTAATCTCAGATGATTTGAGAATGTAGGTTTGATCTTACGACTTTGTTTACAGTACTTATTTGATTGCCATGGGTTGTTATTGGTTCGACATTGGATGTTAAGCAAACAACAAACAATATAAATTAATCAAATGATTCGACTGATCATTGTTAAATGTGTGCACTAGAATCATTGCTCCCTTCTACTACTTTGTAAAATGTCTTGTATATGTTTTTTTTAAATACAATTTAAGTTTTTGCTTCATTTTTTATTTTAAAATATTAAAACTGCCTTGCTAATCATTTCCTATTACTTAGTTGAGTTATAATTTGCATTTACATCAGTTTACAGTACATCATGAACGTTTGATATTGCTAGTATAGTACTACTTGCAACAGTAGACCAACAACTCTTTGAAATTAGTCGCTCAGTGGTTAATCTTAAGAGTATTTTTAAGATTACAAACGAGTATAACTTGTTATTCCTCTTCTGAAAAAGTAACACTGGTTCAAGGCAATGAAGATTATTTATAAACTAAATGTTTTCTGCTGATCACTCTAATAAAATATGTTGTATTATGTACATTGTAAAAAATCGTCTCACCAATGTAAACGAATTTTTACTCTAATGTATATCAAGCTTAACATAATGTATATTATTGTAATGATTAATATTGTATGTACTTTTCAATGATGCTAGCTTTGTATTGTATTGAATACTGACAGACTAAGAAGGAAAGTACTAGTTTCTCAAAGTAAAAATATAATGCGAAAGCCAAATTCACAAGAAACAACTTATTTCAAACTTCTATATGTATATATGTGTATTTGCCTATCAATTAACAAAACATGGAAATAATAATATACAAGTACTAGTATTTGCAACTTTATCAGATAAAACTTATTACTATATCAATTCATTTGAATATGCTCCTTTGTCAAGGAATCTTTTTTAATTTAGTTATTACAATTTGCACATGTTGTATACCATGGGATGGTCAGTTTGTTTTTGACATATGAATTTGAATATCGCTTTGGTATCATTCGCCTCTCTTTTGTAGATGCAAGTTGGGCCTATTATTGTCTGCGTTTATAAATCGGTTAACAGGACAACTCATTTAGTACAAAAACTCAGACTCTACTTGATGATACATGTAATCTAGTTGAGGGCTTATAAATGCGAGTTTTTCTTGAGCAGCAGGGATTTTATTTGAGGTTAATCTTACTTTTGAATATTGGGTCATCTGGGTTTGCTCTGTAGTGAGATTTCTCATTGTTGCTGCTCCTATATGTCCAGTATCCTAATACTTAATAAATAATAAAATCAATCGTGATGTGAATATTTTGTCAATGCTAAAGATTACAATCTTCCAGTTACATATATTTTGAACGTTTATAATAGTTTAATAAAAAATCTATTGTATCTAATACATATTAAACATCATTTTTATATAATTTAGTTCTGCTGTATAATTTTGCTTTCTTGAAAATTTGACAAGTATTTAAGCCTCTTTAAAATTATTTGACAATGACATTTTGCCGATTTGCAGTATTTGCCAAGGTTCGGATAAGAGTTACCTCACTTCATTGTATAATAAAAAAATTATAAGGTATATTAAACCAATGCCATATGGTATTTTGACCCCGATGAGTGTTATTCACAGATCATTTTTTCATATGGTCAAAATACAATATGGAATACTGGCCCGTTGTATTAGATACTAAATACTATATAATGTCAAATTTACGTTGTGTATAACTAGATCAAGTCTTTCTATTGGTATTATAAATGATGTGAAATGAATAACATATCGTTTCAAAAGAGGAATGGGATAGAGGCGATTGTACATAAAAAAGGTGGTAAAATACTATAGCTTAGGAAATGTTTCATGTTATCTTTTCAAAAAAAATGTAATTCAATAAGAATACTTGCTGGAGATTTATATCAAGATTTACAGTTTCAAATGCAATGTTGATTATAAATTCAAATTTATATCAAATTTCCCAATGTACATCCGTACATCCTAATAACATAAACATAACAAATTTTTAAAAGATGTCACAGAAATTTGTAAGTCATGGCATGATTAATCCCCTTTAAACAATATTTGGAACCCTTGCATACTGTTTTATGTTAAAATTGCATACCCATCTTACTTGAAAAGCTTTTATAGATATAATATCTTAACTGAAAAGCACAATCATCATAAAAAAAAAATTAAAAAAATTTAAGCCACCTCATATTTAATCTGCTCCCTCTTAATGATTGGCAATTTATCCGGAATCTTCACAAAAGAGTTCTTCCTTTCTGCGTTTAGGATTTTAATCCTTCTTTAATGGAATACATACATTCTTCCTTTTTTCTTAAAACTATAAAATGCAATTCCATTTATATCCATTGTTTCTCACTGTTACAAATTTTCTAAACTAAAGAGGAAGACAGTGACTTTAGAAACATGTTATGTGCTGAATTACTGTTTCCAAAATAGAATTCCACTGACAAACTTTATGAATCCTTAGAATGATATCCATGATTAGTGAAAACAATACTACACATTATATTAATGTAATAAAAGCCAAAAAAAAAGAAGTACGAATTACATGCATGTATAAACTTACAAAAGATTACGGCAATTAACAGCAAACAGTACAATGGAAGTTCATGTTTAGTTGTTGCAACATAGCTGACTACCAAGCCATATTCAATTGGAATTCCTATCACATATACTAGTAAAGTAATTCCACACCCTTCTCGACTCATCTCTCGGATATAAACGATAAAGGATTCATGATACAGGTTATCAGCCGTATAAACTAGCGCCATTCCAATAGCCAAGAGGAGTGTGTAGTTGGTAGTCTTGTTGTCCTCATAATATTTAGCCATGACGGAAAAATTAAAAAAAGCCAATGCAATCATGCCTGTTCGGGCAAACACAAATTTCAAATCTAAGAAACCAAGGCGGGGACTTATAGATCTTCCAACTAGCCAATCTTCCAGTATGTTTCCTGAAATGCAATTGCTCTGTGGTTAATATACACATATATATGTTGTGTACAAGTTATCATTTTGTACAAAAATAATTGTACAAATTATAATTTGTATTTTGACTTTGTACAAATTGTAATTTGTACAAAAAGTGCTTGTATAAATTACAATTTGACAAATTTGACTAAAATTCACTTAAAACTTGTACAATAATTTATAGTATGGATTTTGTTATAAAAAGCATTGATACATTGATATATATATGAAAAGTCTAGTGTGTTTCTTTATACAGATGCAATCCGATGATCCATTCTATATGACAAAAAGTTAAGCATAGTTCCTTTCAAAAATAGAAAAAATAGTTTGTCAGTACATTAAATCAGAAATAGTTTCTCATATTTTTACGTATGCTGCTCTTTATCGACGGATTTGTTTTCTGGATATTTTACAAGTGTTCACATTTAAAAAAACATTCCAAGCATGGCAATCAAACCTTTAAAGTTTAAGTAGCTCCTTAATTCCAAGAGATATCCTTACTAAAAAGCACAATCATGATAAACAAGTGTCAAGAAATTTTAAACCACCTTATTCCAAAAGGCTCAAATAAAGATTTAATATCTCTGTTCTGAAATGTTTAATTCAATTGCTATTGGAATCAAGCTTTTCTGTTTCTGGTAAATATAGGTTTGCATATTGTGAATTAACTTGAAACGTACAACCTTCTCCTTCTGCAGCAAAATATTGGATGTTGCATTAACAATGAAAAGGGGCACGTGTGTCTATAGCATATGTAAAGTATTAAATTTCCGCATCCTAGACAAGAAGCGAAATGAATATAAATGACACTATGACAGATAGTCAATTGCCAAAGGTATAATGTTATCCGGCCTGTATGTGCGTCCATTCGTTGGTCTGTTCTTCAATTTGTCCTATATTATGTTTATGATTTGGTTCAATGCCGTTTACCATAAAGTTGTAGTCATATCGAAACTTAGTACACATATTCATTGTGTGAACTGTTTGAAAAAAAAATTATCAAGTTACATTTTGGTGTTATAAGTGTAAAATGGCGTTATACTGACTTGAAACGTAGAATACATCTACATTAGGGTGTAACCTTTTTAAAATATATGCCAAATAAGAGATTTTGTAGTTCAGTCAATATGGAAAAGTATGAGTTTATAGGGACACGGTGTCAACCCACCGGGCCCTGCTCTGGTTCCTACGATTCCCCCAGTTGTTGTATGTTGTCTTGATTTGGTTTTTGAATCGATAGATGAGAGTTGAACATAGGTAAACTGATGTTGCCTAAATTAAGTTTCAAATCCTCTCGATTAATTGAAAAAACACTTGCAGACCAAAAAACATTTTCAGAAAATTATATAACTTAATTAATATTTTTGTATCTTAAGAATAAATCATTTTTAATATGTATTCATATTTATCTAGAAGTTATTGATCTGCATAAAGACTGTGCATAACATGATTTTAAGAATATTAATAGTAATAAAAAGCACAAAAAAATATTGTAAGAATGAAAATAATAATATATTTATTTTACTATAAACTTACCCCTATTTCCAACTGGGTTGATGTTGTAAATAGGCAAATTTTCTGTCTTTTGTGTACAAAGCAGTATGAAACTGATCAAAAACTGTATCAGACAGGCTATTGTCACAAGCTCTGTTATCTTCTCAAATATAACAGCAACTCTAAACCCACATAAAGTGGCGAATAGAAAAACTATTATATTGACGACCAGAGCAAAGAAACCTGCATAATATAGAATAGATTTACATGTTACACAGATGGAACAAACAAGCTGCAACAAACATAAAAATACAGCGGAAAAAGATATCGTGCCATTTCAATATTGAAAACAAAACGATATACCCAATGTCCATGTATGGATAGAAATTAGAAGATTATTTTAAACGATAAATCTACATGGACTATCATTTCCTGGCTACAAATCCTACGTTCTGAAGAACATTTGTAACCGTCTGAATTGCCTTACAGGCTCGTGTCTATATGGTATACTACGATGATAATTACAGGTTTCATAACGAAACAGAATTGGATATCTCTTGATATCAACTCCAGTTCTTTAATTTCAATATAATAAACGAGCCTTCTGCGAATTTATTATTATTACTATTTAGGTTATATAACGAGAGTTGATATCAGGCGATATCCAATTCTAAAGAGTTGTTAAAGCTATTTCTCTTATGGTCAACACTCCAATTGTGTTAAATAAAAAATTCCGCGAATCGTCGATCTAGTCTTTTGCACAAACCACTATGACGTCATATGCCCTGTTCCGGCGTCAAACTTTAACATCAGACATTTCAAAACTTTTTGTACGCTTCAGAATGTAACAAGAGGCTGTCATAGTGATAGCAAACCGGATTTTCCTGCAGAGGTCGAACCCTGAACAGTTGAGCAAGTATGGACACAACATTTAAGCTTAAAACAGCTCTGAATTTGGATGGTGATTGAATATTTGACACAGAATATGTTTGTGACACAAAATGAATGTGGTCAAAGAAATGAAAAATTTGAAATTTGACATTTACCTATTATGGTCCAATATCCAAAATCTAAGTATATTGTTGGAATCAGCATATCAAAGAACTCCCAAGAATTCAATTTTATGATGAAATCAAACAAAAGTTTAATTTAGGACCCTTTGGACCTCAATGTGGTATTATCTCATTAATAATGAAAACAAATACAGGATTAGATTAGACTCAGCATTTCAAAGAACCCTATATATATTCAATTTATGTTGAAATCAAACACAGTTTAATTTTGGACCCCGATTTGGACCAACTTAAAAACTGGGCCCAAAATCAGAAATCTAAATACATGTTTATTAATAGACAATATAAGCTTAGTTTTTGAAGGAGTTTGCTTCATCAAAATCATAAGTATATATATAGCTTTCAGAAAATTAGTTTATACAGAATAACAAACAAACCTACCATAAAATTCTTCAAACAATTTACCAAAGAAAAGAAAAATCAAAATGTCTAATAATGAACAGTAAATTTCAAACTATATTTATACTGTCCTGCAGAGCTTATCATCAAAAACACTTAGGAAACACAAAATTTTCAAATAAATCTGTCACTCCAATTATAATTTTAGCTTTCAGAAAATTAGTTTATACAGAATAACAAACAAACCTACCATAAAATTCTTCAAACAATTTACCAAAGAAAAGAAAAATCAAAATGGCTCATAATGAACAGTAAATTTCAAACTATATTTATACTGTCCTGCAGATATTATCATCAAAAACACTTAGGAAACACAAAATTTTCAAATAAATCTGTCACTCCAATTATAATTTTGATTGATAATTACCACATATGTTTGTTATCTTAAAAACACTAAGTGTATTTCATTTGTCACAAACTAATATCTGCAACTTATCTATCAATGTCAACAACTTTATCTACACAATGTAATGCAATGAAATATATCCTTTAATAAACATAGATTATTATCTAATGAAAATGATATTTGCAATCTGGACCCCCAAACAGGATCAAGTAAAAAATATATACTTATTAATTAATTACATTTCTGTTCAAAGGGAAATAACTCAAAATAAACAAGAGACCAAATGACATAGAAATTACATTTCTGTTCAAACGGAAATAACTAAATATCATATAATAAGTATACCTTTTGGCTATTGAAAGGTCTACAACTCATTAACGAGAAAAGCTAAACTCGTGAAAATTGAACTTGACCTTCATTTAGTCACAGGAAACAACATATCTAAATTTGAAAATATTTCGTCAAAGCGTTTTCATATTAATGAACGGACACTGTTTGGCAGCCAACCGCCCACCCGCCAGCCCGCCCGCCGTACCGATTTTTTCTTTCGAAAATCCGGTTAATAAAATGTGACAAAAGGAAGATTTTCAGGTGAAAAATGTGTGTGTTTTGTTTATTATTGAAGAAATCACAAATGTATGTTGCCATGGACGAAATGTACATTGTCTTCATCGTAGAAAATCATTAATGACCTAACTAATAGCGTAATATCTAGATATTAGAAGATAGAGTAAGAAGATGATCGTCTGTTGTTCCGTTGTTTTCCTCTTATAGTTGATGTGTTTCCCTCGGTTTTTGTTTGTGACCCGGATTTATTTTCGCTTAATCGATTTATGACTATTGAACAGCAGTATACTACTGTTGCCTTTATTTATTCATGATATTGGATAGGCCAATCAAAATTAACGCAGTTTTCGAATCACTTTTTCGTATCACACGCCGTGCAGTGTGATACGAGAAATATCTCTTCATGAAAGAAATAGATAACAGGCCACAACCATGAGAGAACTTAAGTTAATCTTAAAGTCTTTTTCTATTTTTGTAACCCTTAGGCATCAGAAAACTCATGATCATTAACCATAGGCACATGTTAATATTTAATTCTAAAATTATATCGAATGTCAAGTTTGCAGAGCAAAGAAAAACAAGTTCAAAGAAGACTCAACAAAAATCGACACAAAACACTTCAGCAAAATCAAAACAAAACCAATTTTAAATAAAGTTAGGCCTAGGGATAAACACAAGCATTCATTGTGGACGTTTACATATCTCTTGAAATATTAAGGATCCATATCAAGATCTTATTTACAGCACCTCCAGAGTAGGTAGTTCAAAGTAACTCCGAAGGTCGGTTTTGATTGCCGATAAAAGAAATGTAGTTCATACGGAAACAATCTTTCGTTGGTACAGTGGCATATTATTCATATAGGTAAGACAGGTGTTTTTGAAGATAAAAGTTTTTTCTTTTATATTTTATCAATAGCATAATCCACCCGGAGAGGGTATTTTCGTCTTCTTTTTCACGTTTTACCCTTGTTTTGCATAATTCATTTGTTGTCATATATTGTAATCGAATCTTGTAAATATTCGTCTGGAGGTATAGAGTACAATTCTTATTGATAAAAAGGAACAGATTTTAATATATTTAAGCAATGAACGTTATTATAACTACATTTTGTAAATTAAACTACCATTCAGTCGATAATTCAGCCGCTTTCCTTGTCTCAGCACGGGTCCCGGGATAACATCTCCAACATCTAACATATACAAGATCCATTGACCAAGCAGCCATGCGATATACACAACAGAGACATATAGATCCAACTTTGGTGTCCAGTTGGTTGGAAAAGATAGCAAATCATAATTTCCCTAAAATACATAGTAAAAGTCTTAATTATTTACCTCGAATCTCACATGTACAAACAAAAGCATGCACTGTTTAAAACCATATGTAATAATAAACTGTTGCCATTGTTCTATGTTAAAGCAAAAACAATGTTTGCTATAAAACAAAAGATGGAACGCTCTGAAAATTTAAAAAGCTAAAAGACGATCGGAAAAAGTTCAGAATAAAAACCGAACTCCAAGATATACCGAATAAGCAAAATATCTTCATTTTATCAACAAAAAACAATATTTGCTTTAAAACATAAGATAGAACGCTCTGAAAAGGTTCAGAATGTCCTACATACATACGTATTAATTACCTTAATCATGAGAAATTTAAAAAAAAACTGTCCTACTCAAAAGTAGAAACAATGTTTAATTTTTAAAACAAAAAGGTATAATGAATATACCGAACTCCAGGATATACCAAATAAGCAAAATACCTCCATTTTATAAATAAAAAAAAACAATGCTTGCTTTAAAACAAAAGATAGAACGCTCTGAAAACTTAAAAAGCTAAAAGACGACCGAAAAAAGTTCAGATTGTCCTAAATCCATACATATTAATTACCTTAATCATGAGTAATTAATAAACTGTCCTATTCAAAAGTAGAAACAATGTTTTGTTAATACAAAAAAGTATAACAAAAATACAGAACTCCAAGATATATCAAATAAGCATCCATACTAAATTTATACCTGAATCATAAGTAATTAATAAACCGTTGAAACAGAGGTATGTGTCCCATGAATGTAATTTTGTTGGAATAATGCAAACGTTGAAATCAAATGGAAATACTTTAACTATGTCATGTAAACCATGAAAACATTCATAGGCAACAAACAATGACTTAAGGTTCAGGGCAAAATATTCTCTATGGAAATGCGTACTATTAGTGCAAATACAACTGCATACCAAATACTATTGACTTCTCATAGGTGGTGTCCCATACACTGATATAATTACAAACATCATCGACGCTGCCGCCGCCGCCAGAAACTGCCACCTATGTATTATCTTCGCAAGTTCGTTGAGGCAAGACAAAAACGCTATCTGTGATGAGATCACCTGCTTTATTATACATAGCATACGCTAGATGTATTAAATAAAATGTTGACACAGAGATAAGTGTCCATAACTGACCTAAACTCAAACTAATACATGTAAACTAAGCAAATGACTCAAATCAATAGACCATGACTGAGGGGTGAAGCAAAATAATTTCCATGGAAATGAGATGTGTCAATGGTATTGCATCTGCATATCAAATACAAAATAAATCATTGATGACGTCGCCGCTGCAGACGACGCAGACGAAGCCGGAAACAGCACGCCTAAATCTCGCTTTTTCGACTTTGTCGAAGCGAGACAAAAAGGATTATCACAAAAAGCTTTGTCATGGTACTGTTGTTCAAATCTTGTAAATCATTACACCTCTTTTTGTTGAGGAACAATCATACAACATATATCTTCATTTAACTTAAAGCGATTCAATCAAAGTGCTTGTGATCACTGAATGGTAATAATTGCATTCAATTTGCAGTTGAAGTTTAAAATTAAACTTTACATGGCATTAAGATTTGAAATACAATTTTATGAATTCGAGATGTCTTTCTTTGTTCATAAATTCAATTGGTGCAACTACAATTATGGACAAGTGAAGATAACTCCAATTTTTAATATTACTTTGACAGTGACATTGATATTTTTAGAAAAGATAAAAGATTCATGAATCATGCACAACGTATGTAAATATCTTGAAAAGTATATGGTTATACACAAGTACGAGTATACAAATCATTGTGTAACTTGAATATCTGAGTATATATTTCATTGTTATATTTCTGGAAACGAACATGGATACGATGTTTAGAATGTTGTGCTCAATGCAAGATGGCTTTTTTTGCTCTCAAGAGTAATCTTTGAAACTATCAAGCCAGTAACGTAAGGATTTTGATTGCATGAATGCAATCTTTCACCCCATAAAGCCTAGGCATGAAACAGTGTGTGAAGGAAAGACAACCAACTTTATATCTATTAACCTCAGGTCGTTAGTTGACATAGCCCTACATTTTCAAGAACAAAACGAATATAAGCAATTGTTGCATTTTCTGAAAAAACATATTCCCTAAAAAAATGATACTTCTGTATTTTTATCGAATGAACTTACAAAAAAATATTAGAATATCAGTTTGAAATAGTTATATGTTTTTCGTTCACGGTTTGATACTTACAGATTCCATTTTTGCAGCAATATAAAATGGAAGTACTATTCCCATCAAAAGCATTGGCACATTTTCTTTTATGACTGAGGATGTCATTCTCAGTATAAACGCGACACCAATAATTCAATAATCTGAAATATAAATGTCATAAATGTAGTAAAAGTCGCATAACATACAAGTCATGTTTTTTAACACTTTAAGCTCAAATCGTAACTTTATTCATGCTGACAAGGCACAAGGACTTCATTCAGATTACTGAGGGGAATAAACCCTTTGAACTTCGTTGAAAAGAAGGTCATATCAAAGACAATTTCGTTGAATGGGTTGATTACTGTTTATACGAGAAAAATTCGTAAATAAAAATGGGTTTCAGGTTGTTCAATCTTTATTTTTCTGTGTAGTATTTTGAAGACTGTTTTATCTGTTAAAAAACATGACATTCAACATCTACGAATTCCCATCAATAAATGCCATTAATATAATGATTATTTATTTATGCAAGAATAAAAAAACTCTATGAGCTATTTGCCCTTATTTATATACTGTGGATTCAGTTATTTTCGTGGGTATCAATTTTCGTGGATAGAGAAAAAAAGACGTTTCGTGGTATACGTAAATTCGTGGATTGCTGATCACAAAAAAAAATAAATTCAGATTCGTAATTCGTGGATTTCTTTTTGATTTAGGAGATCATATAACCTCCTTAGTTTGATCAATAATAAAACAAACAAAAAAGAAGGAATTCATTGAAAACGTTTTGAATTGTCAAAATCCTCGCTTGGTCATTCTAGGTTAAAGTGTTCATTGAAAACTTCCATTACAATAATGGACAGAGACAACTAATTATTTGTTTGTTTTACAATTTATAACTTCTTGTCGGAATTTTATAAGGCATTCAAAACTCTATGATTGAAAGCTCATTTCCCTAATCACGATATAATAAACAGTCATATAAGTAAAAGGTGTGAAAATAAATGTTTCTGTCATAAACAATATTACATGCGGGCAATATCCCCGTACTTAATCCTATTGATTTTTAATCACCAGTAAACCAAACTATGACACGGTAATTAACAACTTGCAGTTATTGTCCATGAACAGTTTTAATCAATTTTAAAAAGTAAATTATCACTGATATTCGATATATTTATTATTGATTTAATCAAAATACTTGTATCTTCTTTCAATAAAAACACGTGTTATGTTACAATGTTTATCGCTAGTCAACACTATACATGAACTGCATAACATAACCGGAAATAAACATCCGACTCCATACACATTTCTCGGGATTATTCTTCGTTGAATTCTTAAATTCGTGGTTCGCTGTGACCCACGAAACCAACGAAAATTGGTATACCACGAATAAAAATGAATCCACAGTAATTATATTTGGAACTGCTTACATCAATCATTCACTAATTCAGTGTTTCGGTGGCAATGTATTGATATTTGTATTGTGGTATTATTAATAATAAAGTTTGATTCTATAAAATTTTCCATATATTTATTGGCCCGCCTCTTCAGGGATTTCCAATATGTGGGTTTAATTTCTTATTTTTTGTGGAAGTTAGCAGATCTGCTAAATTCTTATGTCTTTTATATGCTAATATTGCCTTGTTCTTAAAAATCGCTCTGCAATCTGTATCATGATTCAAAAGGTGCCAGTGTTTGAGTATAGCCTTCTTAATCCTCCTAATACAAGGGTTATATTTTGTTGACAAAACCAGTGGAATGTCATTTGCATTTCCACGTATAGATTTATTTAATAAATCTTTTCTATCAATTAGTAATGCTTCATTTACAGATTGCATTATCTCAGCTTCTAAGTAACCTCTTGCCATCAATGTGAGAGTGAATGTTGTAAATCATCATCATTGTTTGTATTTCTAATGTAACGGATGACCTCTCCTTTGATGTAACACGTATGTATTATGGCAGCTTCCCCTATGGAGATATAAGAATGTATTTGTAGGCTTGAAATAAATTTTCGTATCTAATATTTTATTACACTGAAATCGTGAATCATTGTATATTTTAAGGTCAAGAAATTTATTTCTTTTTCTGATATTTCGTAACTGAATTTCAAATATTTATGATGACTATTTGCCACTTCAAATAATTCCGTCAATTGACTATGAGTTCCATCAGAAATTATAATGCCATCATCCATATATCTCCCGATGTAGAATATTTGTTTTCTAAACTTAAATTTAGACATTATGTCGTTTAGTATTTGATACAGTAAGATGTTGCAAACTTGTGGGGAAGGAATAGCTCCAATAGCTGCACCTATTTGTTGTTTCCATAGGATGTCATTGAATTCAAAAACATTGTTTCGCAGTATTGATTCAAGGAGATAAATCAAATCATCTGTAGGTAGAGATTTAATTTTGAATTGTGATTTGTCAAAATTATCAAAGGCTTTTCTTACTGCAGGCAATATTTCATCAATAGGACAATTTGTAAACATTTGACTTATGTCGAACCTACATGGTACACATTCAGAAAGAGGTTTCAAATTCTCCAATCATAGAATGAGGTCCGTAGTGACCTTTAAATATTTAAATATGAAGTATGGTATTGCACAAGAGATACAAGCTGTCAACAACTCTTCCAATGGATTCAGTGACAGGCCCAATTTGTGATATAATTGGTCTACCAGGGGGAGGCATTGCTCCAATAGAATCCTGTTATTTGTTATTTTATTTAGAACCATTGGGTCTAATTTGTGCATTTTAGGAAGGACATGCATATGCTCTGGTCCATAATTTTGTTGATTGCTCTTTATTAGATAATCAAATGTGGTTTTGTCTAGAGCACCTAGGCTATGCATACCTATAATGTAATTATGAAGATTGCATCTAAGGTTTGCAAAGTCGAAGGATTGCAGTTTTTACATAGTGTGGCGTCGCTTTCCAACTGAGGTTTGTGTTTTTTCGAATTCGTTTTTGGAACTCCGTTTTCTCCCTTGTCCTTCTTGTAGCATCCGCCGTATTGTTAATTACATATACAAATACAGTGATAAGTTTCATTGTTGATATATATTATTGTAATGAACGAGTAAAACGGTCGATTTTGTTGATTCGACAAATCAAACATATATATGTTGCAATTGTCATCTCTGACATCAATTTTCAGTAACGGTAAAATGATGCAATACCCATAGCCGTTAATCAATCTATGCGTTCTTATCCGAAATAATTCAAAAATGACCCAATAGTTTGAAAATGTATATCATTCAAAACAGTCCATGATAAAACCCATCGGCTCATTTAAAGGTATTTAAGGCATTATGTTGACAAAGGTCAGCTGTCTTGTTTCACCGACTTAACCTTTAGTCCGAGATTGCTTTGAGGGACAATATCTTGTTCAAAGTGAAAGTACATGGTTGAAAATGGTGGGTTGATAGAAATAAAGGTGTCGTTGTTGCTTCAGTGAGTTAAAATAGTAGAATAAAAGATACATATACGTGGAGTAAAATAAATAAGGCATCAAATGGTGCATGATTTGTCGACTTGAAAATGGATCGTTTAAAATTTGAGATAAAAAGTTTTCGCCTCAAGTCTTGGTCGCCAATTTCCTTGTTACCTATATAGACTGCGCTCTAACGTTCAACGGCCCAAACATATCCGAAAAGGCCGTCAGACATCAGAATAATCTCGGACTACTTGCATCCAACAAACAATAATACTGAATTGAACGTTCTGGCAACAACTAGTTTTTTCTGTATTTGTGACGTGCAAAGTACGTACAAAAGTATTTACCTATGTTCATATCTCGTATATTCATTATGAATATGCTTACCAAGATTAAAAATAAAAAACTGAGGAAATGACAGTTGATTCAAGAATATGACAACAAATTCCTTCTTACAATGTATAAGTACAAATTATCAATGTTTCTACTATTTTCAAATTGTAAGACACATCGTGAATCTTTAATGGCGATAGAGAAAAGCAAGCAAGTTCAAAAAGCTTAATATTGTGGCAAACACATTCAGAAAAAAATGGATGAAACCGGTTTTATTAGAGCAGATTTCTTGATCGAAAAGATAGTGTATCGGTGTTTTAACCGGGAGGGAGATTGATATTGCTATTAGCATAAAATGCCTTATATTTTGTAAGGCCAACATAAATAAAGGCAACAGTAGTATACCGCTGTTCAATTGTCATAATTCGATTAAGCAAAAACAAATCCGGATAACAAACCAAAACCGAGGGAAACACATCAACTATAAGAGGAAAACAACGGAACAACAGAAACACTGTACAACAACAAAAGCAAACGCCAACATACATAGAAACGGACTGTGTGATAACAACTGCCATATTCCTGACTTGGTACAAAACATTTTAAGAATAAATGGTGAGTTGGACCTGGTTTTATGGCTAGCCAAACGGCCTCCCGCTTATATGGCAATGCTAAAAATACAGCTAAAATGACAACACTACGTGACACCTACTCAAATTTGTGATGAAAAAACTTAAAATTTACTTCCAAATATTAATTTTAGAATATGAATTTACAGGGATGGAAAGTGTTCACTATTTAAAAATGTTTGAGTTATAGCGTTCCTGGTGGAGATAAATACAGAAAAGCGCTTCGGACGCACGAAATTTATAAAGTAATATTTTCATCTATACTTTTTAAAAGATAAAAACTGTTTAATTCGCAATGCTCTCTTCATATGTATCTTATAATTTAACTTTTATACCATGCATATGATTTTATTTATCAAAATGTTTTCCGTCATAAGGTATCTTAACTTGATTTGTAGATGTGGTACTTAAATGTAAATGAAAAGATACATTCCATGTATATGAAACCGTTCTATATTCACAGTTTCAGGAATGATGGGAATTCTGAGGGAATCATAAGCTCAGTAGTCAAAGCTTCGGTATTGACATGATTTATAACTTTTTTCTTCTTCTAAAATTCTCCGTTGATAATTGAAGAAATAACACAGAAACTAAGGTGCCTACTCCCTAAGGCAAATTTATCATTAATTTGTTCATTCTTTTTAGGTCCCTTTGGTCACATAGTTCCTATCGACTCTACTTATTTATGCATCCCTGGATTTCAGACGCACGGAATTTTATAAATTATTATATTCATTCACATACAAGGG